GGGCGCCGGGGCCCTGCTGCTGCGGAGATGGGACGGCGACCCTCGACCGGCTTGGGAGCGAGGGCAAGGGCGCGCGGGAGCCGGGGTTGGGGGCAGAGATGCAGACTCCGCGTCCCGAAGCCTTCCTTTCCCCGAGACATCGCATCTTCCGGGTCTCGCTCCTCCTCCCCCACTGGCGCGGGACCTCTGCGCGCCGGGCGCTGGGAATCCAAGGGGAAGGGGAAGGGCCGCGCATCGTAGGGACGCCGCCACCCAGGTCTGCGGAGTGTCCGCACTGGCTGTGACCTGCTAGGGACAGGGGTGAAGGTCGCGACCCCAGGATCCGGGGTTAAGTGGAGCCGCTTGCTTCTGGGTGGTACTAGCCGGGCTCCTTCGCCCCGGAGGGCGCGCCACCTACACCGCTCACCCAGCGGAGGTCACGGCCTCGCCTCGGCCCCGGCCCGCATTACGGATCCGCAGGGACCCTCTGGACGCGACTCTCTCGGTCCCAGCCTGCTTTCTTCCTGGGCGGAGGATGTGACCACGGCCCCCAGGGAATAATAATTCTGTACGCAAACACTCTCGGGTCGCCGCCGCCCCCCACCCCGCCCCCGGCCCCCGGGGCCGGATTCCGTTTCGCGTTGTGCAGGTACGCACGGGTGTCCACGGCGACACGTGGGTCGTGCACTGGGGATTGCTTTCTACGCGCAGAGACCGCCTCAGGCGAAGACTTCCCTCGGGCCCAGACACCTGTGGCTCCATGGTCCGCGTCCCCCGCAGGTCAGACGGGCTCTTCAGGGCTCTCACCCAGTCCTAGGGCCTTGGCTGGAGAACCCGACGCGCTGGCGAATTTTGAAGGCTCTAGGCGTCGGGCACGTGCTGTACGCTGCCTTCTGGTGCTCAAGGGACCCGTTATCTCCCTCCGACCGAGGCTCCCAGGCCAGGGGAACCCTCGCGGCAATGTTGCCGTGGAACTGTGCGCAGCCCCGGACTGGTGCACAGCGTCCGCACCTCACCTGGCCCGTCTGGCTGACTGCCACACACCTTTATGGCTCACCTACTGTTTGCAAGGTGCGGGGTAAGCGGGGGGGCCCAAAGACGAATCACACAGGGTTTGATCTGGACAGGGAAAAAAAAACAAAAGGCCCGCACCGCCGAGCAGGACGCCTGCGCGCATCCCCTACCCGTTCGTTCTGGGAAGTCGGTGGGCTTCCGCAGGGCGAAGACGCTGGCCCGGCTCGCGGAGGTGCGAGGAGGACCCGGGCCGGGTCTCAGTTCTCAGAACGCAGGGGCGGGGGTGGGTGTCAGGGTCCGTGCCATCTTGGGGCGGCAGAGGCGCCGGCAGGGCCTGGCGGGGGTGTGGGGGGAGGCTGCTGTTGGGTGAAGAGGGCCCGGAGTCCCTAGTGGGCGAGGGGACAAGGCCCTCACGGGGCAGACAACAAGGTCGGCAGAGCCAGCGCCGACGCGCAGCTGCTCGCTCCCGTCCGTGCGGAGGGCGGGTTAGGCGGGGCCCCGGGTCCGGGCCCGGGTGTCCTCCTCGCGGGTCCGAGCGCAGGTGCGCGCGTGACATGGACAAGCGGGTGCGCGCGATCCACGAGCTCTCCGTGCGGAGCAAGCGTCAAATTCGTTACCTCCTGGATCAGAGCAGCTCCTGAGCGTGAAGTGAGGGCCTTGCTGCAGGCATAGTTGCCGGATTTAGCCAAAAGACAAACAAGGAAAAACGAATATTTATTCATACACCATGTATAACATATAATATACGTATTATGCGCTATATTATATATTCTATACACAAGCGCATGTTTGTGTTTGAATACATTTACATGTAAATATGTCTTTACATTAAATATAAATATATGAATATAAATACACAGACACACAGGACGCCAGTTAAATTTGAATTTCAGATAAGGGGGTAGTTTTTTAGCATAAATACGTGCCACGTAGTATTTGGGAACATATTTATCCTAGAAAATGATTCGTTGTTTATGTGAAATTCAGTTTAAGTGTACTTTCTGCATTTTATCTGGCAACCCTAGCTGAAGGGGACCTCCCCATACCCGAGCACCGGCGGAAATCCCGGGTGGGACGAAACGCCGCGTCTCCTTTAAGGCGAGGCGGCGCGCGGGGTGCCGGGTGGCGAACTACAAGCCCCACAATGCACGCGTCCGCCTGGAGCCCAGACTGGCTGCGGCGCTCGTCCTCCGTCACTTCCGCCCGCGGAGGGGCGGTTGTGGCGGGCTGGGTGGGCTGGGTTTCGCGGTCTTGGGGTCTAGCGGCCGCCATGAACTTCTCCGAGGTGTTCAAGCTCTCCAGCCTGCTCTGCAAGTTCTCCCCGGACGGCAAGTACCTGGTGAGCGGCCGCGGGACCTGGGCCGAGGGTGGGCCCTCCGCGGGGAGGTGCCTGTCCTCACCGGGAGGCGGGGACCCAGGGAGCGGAGAGCGGGGCGGCAGCTGGGCCCGGATGGAGGGAGCTCGAGGGTCTGCAGGTGTGGGCCCCGGGCAGGTGCTGCAGACAGGTGACCCTGGGAAGGGGACCTGGGAAGATGCTGCGGCCTGGGAACCCAGGAAGCCGCCTGCTGCCAGCACCTGGGTTTCCATCTGTTAAAGGCAGGTAAAAGCAATGCTGCCTTCACAGATTTGAGGACACAGAAGATATCGGATCGTTGTTGTTAGTTTGTCACAAAAGGCAGGTATATAGTCCTGTTGGCTGTAACCTGGTGCAGTGGTGCAGCTGCTTGTTGTCGCCTTTCCCAGCCCTCTTCACCCGTCTCTACTACATGCCAGATGAGTGATTTAGATAACAGCATTCTATGCGCAGATAAAGAGAGTTGTCCGCACTCCTGAGATTTGAGCTGCTGATTCCATGGGTGGCAGAATGCTTCTGACATCACTGAGCTGTCTTGTACGTGAAAGTTAAGTTTTGAAATACACCAGCGTGACCCGTGTATATCCTCAGAATCTTAGGGTGAGGGCATGTGGTGGGTGAGGGATAATTGGCGTTGGAATTATAAAAAGTGTACTTAGTTTCACTAATTAGTAACTGATGCTTCCTGATTCTTTTTTCAGTTCAAGTTTTGTTAACATTTCTTTCATCCTTATCTAGTTCTTTGAGGATGGATGTACACGTTTGCCTTCTTTGTGGAGGTTTTATTCTAAATCACATAATATGGCATTCAGCTCCAAAATACAAAATGTCTTTAGCTTAAATGGCACCCCAGAAACCTTGGTATATTCAAAATACTCCCGCATACATTAGGGGTTCCCCCCCCTTTGGTCATTTATGAAAATTCTAGTGAATTATAAAGAGAGAGATTATATTTCCTCATTTAATTTTGGTACTTTTTTGGTTTTTACACCAAAATAATCAGATATTTCAGATTTAAATATCGTGAGCACTAGGCAGTAATGTTACTGGAACCATGTTCTTCAAAGCTCTATCCTAGGTGCTGGAAAAAGTAGGGCCATGTTGCCATTTTTAATATCTTTTTTTTTTTTTTTTTTTTTTTTTTTTTTTTTTTTTTTTTTTCTTGCGTTATGCGGGCCTCTCACTGTCGTGGCCTCTCCCATTTGCGGAGCACAGGCTCCGGACGCGCAGGCTCAGTGGCCATGGCTCACGGGCCCAGCCGCTCCGCGGCATGTGGGATCTTCCCGAAACGGGGCACGAACCCGCGTCTCCTGCATCGGCAGGCGGACTCTCAAGCACTGCGCCACCAGGGAAGCCCGATTTTTAATATCTTGCAACAGATTTGATATGGTTTTTCCAAGTGTTGCTACGAACATTCCGTTTTGTAAGTTTATTGTAACTGATCACAGCTTTCAAAGCTACAATATGAAAAAAATAGGCACGGGACACATAGTATTTTTAATCTGCAATCCCTCCCCTACTCTCCTTTTCCCATGCAGAACTCATGTGGCTTTTTTTTTTTTTTTGGCTGTGTTGGGTCTTCGTTGCTGCGTGCGGGCTTTTCTCTAGTTGCAGCGAGCGGGGGCTACTCTTCGTTGCGGTGCGCGGGCTCTAGGAGCGCGGGCTTCAGTAGTTGTGGCACACGGGCTTCAGTAGTTGTGGCTCGCGGTCTCTAGAGCGCAGGCTCAGTAGTTGTGGCGCACGGGCTTCGTTGCTCCGCGGCATGTGGGATCTTCCCGGACCAGGGCTCGAACCCGTGTTCCCTGCATTGGCAGGCGGATTCTTAACCACTGCGCCACCAGGGAAGTCCCTCTTGTGGCTTTTTTTTTTTTTTTTTGCGGTACACGGGCCTCTCACTGTCGTGACCTCTCCCGTTGCGGAGCACAGGCTCCGGACGCGCAGGCTCAGCGGCCATGGCTCACGGGCCCAGCCGCTCCGCTGCACGTGGGACCCTCCGGGACCTGGGCACGAACCCGCATCCTCTGCATCGGCAGGCGGACTCCCAACCACTGTGTCACCAGGGAAGCCCTTGTGGCTTTTTTTTAATGGGAGTTTATAAAACAAAAATCCAATTATCCAGTTTGACCTTGATAAATAGAAAAATGAAGCAATTAACGTTGAAAAGTCGGTTCTTGATTTTTTTTTTTTTAAATTTTTTCTTCAGTTCTTGATTTTTGAACTGTGAGGTCCTCTTCTATTAGCAGGTACGTTTACTCAATCGTAGAAATTATTTGCTTGGATTTGGATATTATTAACAAATATGGACATAAAGCAACTGGGTCTTTAAGAAAACGGTATGAACACTTAAACTTTTCAGAGTCAGGATTAGGAATAAGTTAACGTGGGTGTATAAGAATCCCCCAGCCCTTCCTCCTGTGAGTCCCACACGACTGCCACGCTCAGCACTTCTGACACAGCTGGTCACCAACCGTGTGGGGTTTTTTCCCCACACCAAGCAGTTGTGCACCACGCCAGCTGGGTGTCCTACAGTTTGACTCAGTTCCGACGCTGTCTACCTGGAGAGAGCGCCAGGTCCCACAGGTTGGGGGCTCGGTCCCACAAGACTGCTTCCTCCCCCTTAGGACGCCAGTTGCAGGTCCAGGTTGTCACCTGTGCGTCTGACCAACTGGCTGTAGGTCAGAGGCTCCATGATGTCCTCTTTGGGTTCCATTGATTTGCTAGAGTGACTCACAGCACTCAGAGAAACACGTTTACCAGTTTATTAAAGGATATGGTGAAGGACACAGATGAGCAGCCAGATGAAGAGATACACAGGGTGAGGTCCGGGGGCCCCTGAGTGCAGGAGCGTCTGTCCCTGTGAATCTGGGTTGCATCACCCTCCGTGTCTGGTTGTGCTCACCCCCCTGGAAGCTCTGAACCCCGTATTATTGGGATTTTATGGGGCCTTCATCACATGGGCCTGAGCCATCGTTAACTCCATTTTTAGCCCTTTTCGCAGAAGAGAACAGGGGGGTGGGGGTGGGGTGGGGCTGAAATTCCAAGCTTCTAATCTTGGCTTGGTCTTCCGGGTGACAGCCCCATCCAGGAGCCCACCCAGAGTTGCCGCTCTAGAACAAAAGATGCTCCTGTCACCCAGGAAATTGCGCGGGTTTCATTCAGGAGCCCTGTGTCAGGACCTGAGGGCAGACACCAATATGTCTTTAATGTTCTCTCATCACAGGTAAATGAGCATTTATGAAGCGTCCTTACACCTGCAGAATTCAAACCTGTATATTGACTTTCTGTTGCTTAGGCTCCAAGTCAGACATTGAACAGAAGGGAACTGCGTTTCTGGGGTCGTTCTCCCCAGCAGCCCTGAACCTCCCTGCTCACTGCTTACAGATTGTCCGCAGGTGATGAAAGCAGAGAGGATTTGGTTGTTTACAGATGAGCCTCTCCCCAGTGCTGTTTCCTGCTTCAGGGTTAGTCATACAGTGAAGAAAGTAGAAAATGACTCCAGTAGAGAGTTTGAAAATAATACTTTCTCCGGGGATTTAACAGTTTGGGCACCTGGTTTGTACATTTCAGTTTTTATCTTCCATTAACTCCTCTTTGTTGAGAACAGGCTGTCCACGGGATGAGCACGGGGCCATCTAGGCAGAAAGCGTGTGCAGGGAGAGAAGGAGGCAGCCGCTGGCTGGAGGGTCGCCGCTGCGCCGAGAGCACCCTCCTCCAGAGCCCGCACCGCCCGCCTCTCTCCTCCCTCCCCAGGCTTCCTGCGTCCAGTACCGGTTAGTGGTCCGGGATGCCAACACCCTCCAGATCCGCCAGCTGTACACGTGCCTGGACCAGATCCAGCACATCGAGTGGTCGGCCGACTCGCTCTTCATCCTGTGTGCCCTCTACAAGCGGGGGCTGGTGCAGGTTTGCGGGCCGAGGCTCGGACGCCCCCCGTCCCGGAGCGTAGTCCCCGCGAAGGGCCTTGTCCTGTGCCCTGCCGGTCTGGAAGAAGAGGCAGCACAGCTCAAAGGCCGTTAATAGTTCGCTCATAGTTTAAGTACTTTTAAGATAAGAAGACACTTAAGTGTCCTTGATCCGTAACCAAGTTAATTCAGTAACAGGCAGTGTTCAGAGGGCAGCCCAGCAACTCGCTCGTCCTGTGTGGGAGCGCTGAGATGTGTCTTGTTGTAGACCCCAAACCTAACTAAGTGAGGTCTCAGGGACAGCAGAGGGGTGCACCCTTCGAAGCACGAGAACACACTGTCACTGAGAAGTGTGCCTTACCTCTGTGGTGCAACCCAGGCCTAGCCCTTCGTGCTGGAAGATTCCGAGGGCTCGCCTGTGTTTGCCTCCGCACAGCTCTTGGCCGGTTGTCTTCAAGCCTACGTAGCGCACTGACTCGTCTCTCTCTTGTGACTGTAGGTGTGGTCTTTGGAGCAGCCAGAGTGGCACTGCAAAATAGACGAGGGTTCGGCAGGGCTGGTGGCTTCCTGCTGGAGCCCCGATGGGCGCCACATCCTCAACACGACGGAATTCCACGTGAGTGAGATGCCCCGAATGCCCCTCCTCCTGAAATGCTTGGGAGTGTTAGAGTGGGTGGTTTGGGGGGAAGGGTATACGTCGTAAGTGGTCAGAGCATCATAAGCCCATGAGTGTTGTTATATAATCTTTTTGCCGAGTTTTAATGAAAAGAAAAGGTTTTTTTTAAAGAACAGCTTAAATTATATTTTTAAGGATTTAAACAGGTTCTTTGATTCAACAATTGAAAATGAACTTCAGTATGAACAAATTTACATCCTTCCGTCAAGACATCTGATCTGTGTGTTTCTAACCTCTTCATTCATTTCCTTTTCAAGCCTTGGGCTTACTTGGGACATGGGGCCCTGGGCAGTAGCTCTGAGTGCGAAGAACATTTGAAATCTGACAGTAAATCAGAGATAGCTCGGGTGGTGTGAACTCAGCTCGTCAGTGTGTCACATTAGGGGATCAGGGAAGGCTGGGGTGGAGTGAACACATCTCGTCATTATATTGAATTTGATGTTTGCCAGTTTAGGCCATTGGGCAGGGAGACAGCAAGTGAAGGGGTCCTGGTTTCTCCACGTTACACACGTTGACATTTTACAGGGCTGTTGGAGAGAACTTGAGCTGTTCATATAGCCTCATCTAAAAGGCTTCATGCTTATAATTCTTCGGGCCCAAATCCAGCCCCCAGACAGGCACCTGTCAGTGCGAAAGAGAAACCGTGCTCTTTGGACAAGGTTCACTGACAGGCAGCTTGCGCGCTGCCGTGAGGCCTGAGAATAGAGCGCTCAGGACTGCAGGGTGTCTGTGGGCCCCACCTCAAACCGCGGGGCCCCTCGCTCTGCATTTTGCATTAAGCATGTCCTTACTTACTTTGAGGTCTTATGTGTGTGTGTGCAGGCACCATACACTATGGTGTGCATTTGTCTAAAGGTTGCTTAAATGAATTCATACTCTGTGTTCTGTTGTGGTTCTTTCTTCCCCCTCGATATCGTTTTTGAGATTCATCCACGTCGAGGGTTTGACTGCTTCTTTCAGTCCTCATAGGGAAAGTCATGCCACGGTTTATGCAGCCACCCTGCTGGTGCTGGGCATTGGAGCTGTTGCGGTCCATGCTGCAGGGAATGGAGTGTGGGTGTCTGCTCCGGCCCGTATCCAGGCGTTCTCTCTCGGACGTTTGGGGAGGGGAGGTCACCTGGTTGTAGGAGATGCGGTTTGATCAGGATGTTAAATGGATGCCAGTCCAGGAGAACTGCAGTGGTGCTACACTGTGGTTTGCATTTTCATTTCTCTAAGTATTGGTGACGTCGAGTTTCCATATCTTATTTTATGCACACCCACGCACACACTTAATTTAAATATGTATTTCAGGTTCACGTGGAATTTATAGTGGTGGTGTCTGGAGTGAATCCATTTTTATCTGTTCCCAACAGGATTTGTTAAGAAGTCCGTCTTTACCACCTGTCTCGAGAACTGAATTTCTTTACACTGACGCGATCGGTTCCGATTTTCCATTCTATGCCATCGTCAGCCCGTTTCCCTCCTGTGTTCCAGGATGTTAACGTGTAACAGGGCTGTGCCCTCCTCGCTGCCTCTGCTCTGCCAGGTTTCCTCATGTGTTTTTGAGGCTCTGTTACTAGAACTGTTACAGGTTTCATGGTGAATTGAGACTTTGATTATTATAAACCGTTCTTCACGTCTCATAGTTTTTTCTGTTCTGCAGTGTGTTTTGTCAGATGTTGGCATCAAATGCCATCCTTCCGTGGTTAGGGGTTTCAGGGTATATCTTTTTCATCCTTTTACTTTCAGCCTTTCCGTATCCTTAAATTTTAGTACGTATGTTGTAAATAGCCTGTAGTTGGCTTAAAAAAATAAACCCCGACCGGAAAACTTTTTCTTCTGTCTCAGTGAAGCCAATTGGAGCTACTTATGAACAGCAACATTCACCCACTTTAAGCGTGTGGACCGTGAGCTGGGACTCGTAGCTGCCGCCCCGGTGGGGATGGAGCGTGCTTACACCACCCAGTGGGCACCTCCCACCCTCCAGTCATCCTGCTGCCCACCTCGGGCCTGCTTCCTGTCGCTCTTGGTTTACAGTTCAGATTCCATGTGAGAGGGGCCCCGTGGCTTGCAGACTTCTGTGTTTGGCTCCCGTCACTCGGCCTCATGCTCTTCTTGAAATTCGTCCGCGTCTGTGGGCATCAGCTCCGGTTTCTCGGAGCTGAGTGGTGTCCCCGTGTGGATTCCCCACCCTGTGTGTGTATCACCCACTGGCCGATGGAGCTGTCGTGAACATCCTCACACGGGCTGTCTGCGGACGCGGGTTTTTCTTTCTCTCAGGTAAACACCTGGAGTGGGGGGCGCCGGGAGGTGTATGTTTACAGCTTAAGAAACCGCAGGCTCTTTTCCGCAGTAGCTGTGCCGTTTAGTCTTCCCCCCAACAGTGCAGGAGTTTGTTCCACAGTCTTACCCACGCTGCTCACCACAGCCTCTTCTGTTAGGCAGTCTGATGTGTGCTGGTGTCTCATTGTGGGTTTTCTTGGTGATTTCCATATGACTAATGATATTAAGCGTCTTTTGTGTGCCCATCATCCTACAACTCTTGTCTGTTCATATCATCTGTCCGTTTCTTTATTAGGCCGTTTGTCCTTTTCTTGAGCTGTAAGGTTCTGGTTACAAGTTCTTTGTCAGATACATGTTTAGTAAATATTCTCTCCTGGTCTCTGGCTTGCTTTTTCATTTTGTTAACGGTTTCTTTTAAAGAGCAGTCTTTCATTTTGATGGGGTCTAATGGGTCAATTTTTTTCTTTTATCATTTGTGCACTTTGTGTCTAAAGAAATCCCTGCCCAACCCAAGATCACAGAGTTTCTTCTGTTTTCTTTTAGAATTTTTATGATGTTAGCTCCTAAGTTTAGATGTGTGATTTGTCTTGAATTTCTGTCCTTTCCCCACTTTGCACCTTTGTCAGAAATCAGCTGCCTGTAGGTATGTGGGTCTGTTTCTGGACTCTGTCTTGTTACATTGATCTCTTAGTCTGTCTTTGTGCCAATACCACATGCTCCGGATCACTACAGCTTAATAGTAGGTCTGGAAACCCAAATCAGTGTGTTTTCCAGTTTTGTCCTTTTTCAAAGTTGTTTTGGCCATTCTGGGTCTTTAGTAACTTCCGTATCAATTTTGGAATAAATTAGTCAATTTCTAAAAAAAAAAAAAAAAAAAAAAATTGTACCAGGATTTTAAAGTTGAGGTTGCATTGAATCGGTAGACCAGTTTGAGGATAATTTGCCATCTTAACAATACTCAGTCTTTGGATCCATGAACATAGGATACTTTTCATTTTTTTAAGTCTTTAAATTTTTTTTCTAAGCAATATTTTCATTGTATAGATCTTGTACATACTTTATAAAATTTATTCCAAAGTTTTAAATTTTGTTGTATCAGCTCTTGACTCTGCTTCAGTCCAGGGGAAGGGCCAAGGGTGTTCACGCAGGTGTACATGTGTAAACCGGGAGGAATTTGACCTCTGAATGCATTCCCACTTCTAACAAGAGAGGGAAGCCACGCACATACATACTGATAAAGAACTCGGTGGGCTGCTGTCCGTTTGCTGTGTTTCTTTTCTTTTCTTTTTTTTTTTTTTTTTTTTTTTTTTTTTGGGTTCCGGCCTCTCACTGTCGTGGCCTCTCCCGTTGCGGAGCACAGGCTGCGGATGCGCAGGCTCAGCGGCCACGGCTCATGGGCCCAGCCGCTCCACGGCATGTGGGATCTTCCCGGACCGAGGCACGAACCCGCGTCCCCTTCATCGGCAGGCGGACTTTCAACCACTGCGCCACCAGGGAAACCCTGCTGTGTTTCTTGAGTTAATTTTCCAAACAATCTCTGAGTTGGAAAAGGTCATTTTAAGTGTTTTTGCCTAAGTATTGGAATTTTCCAGGTCACCGGCAGCAGTGGTCAAGTAATAAAAATGTACTTATTTTTTACGTCAAGACAACTAGGAAGTGTTGTGGAAAAGGAGATGAGCTAAGGAACTCTTTCTCAAAAGTGACTGTTCTCTGGCGAGATTAGCGTTTCAGTTCACCCTTAAATGTGGCAACGCCTGAAAGCACAGCCCAGCCCAGAGGGGGA